TTAAGCTGATTTCAACTCGCTCATCTATCAGTATTGGAAGAAAATGCATGAAAATCTTCCAAAGGGGAATCAGCAGGAGACACTCCCTACAACGGCACCAAGCCACTAAACCAGCTCAGCCGTAGGATCAAAACGTGCCCTTTCCTGCATGCCCCATGTTACCCCAAACTGAGATGTGACCCCTGAGAGGTGCAGAGGGCCTCAGGCCACGGCTCCTGCTGCTAACTGAGCGGCTGATGCTTCACAGACCAACCTGATCAGGAGGGCGTCCAGCTCTCAGTGCTGCACTGAGCTGGTGACAGCCCGGGAGAGTGAGAACAGGCACCCTGAACCCAATCTCAAACAAAAGCCTTGCAGCTCCCTCAGATTTTTATTAGCCTTTTTTAACTACCCTCCTCCTTTAGTGCAAATAAAGCTTTAGGCAGGGAACAGTTGCACGTAGCAGTACCTTGTAGAAACTGCAGCAGTGGCACATTCCAGCCTTCAGCCACTTGACACCTATTTAAGAGAAAAAAACAAGCTTAGCAGACACATGCAAACCTGCCTGGGAATCGGGCAGCCCCGACACTGCTCACGCTGGTGCCTCTCGTTCATCTCTGCAGACGGGCAGGAGGCTGGTGTTCCGCTCGCACCCTCCCGCCAAGAAGGAGAAGCAGCAGCAGACCCAGGAGCAGATGGATGAAGAGAAGCAAGAGCAGCTCTATTACTTCACTTGACCGGCACAACACGGAGGGCTGAAAAGGTTTTAGAAAACTGTACTGTGTGTATGCATGGTCTGTTAAAGGTCTAAGTCATCTGCTCTGTTTGACTACGAGCTTCACAGCCCCACAACATTCCCTCCTCCTGCTCCAAAACCCCCGGGTAATCTTTTTTATTCTATTTTTCACTTAAGAAAATAAATTAAATTTTCCCTTCGTTTTGCTTCTCAGGTCCCTGCTAGCAAAAAGGCTTTTCTCATTCAGCTTTTGAAGCAAATAGCAGTATCCCTACAAACCTGACTAGTAAGATTTAATCATACTCCCGAGTAACCATCTTTCTTACAGCAAGACTAAGCTAAGCACCTGCCAGACAGTTATTATAAATGCCAAGCCAGTGAGTGATTATGAAGAAGAAACAGTGCCTTAATCCTAAGGAGTGGGAGGGATGGATTTCATTATAGAGACTACCTCACAACTGCTAAGGAACACACAAGCAATGGAAAGAAGAAAGAAAATAAGAAAAAAGACCACAAGCCCTGCAAAAAGCAAGCTGTTATTAGCTTTACGACAGCTGCATCCACACCAAAAACATTACCAGTAAGAAAGTAACCATAAAAAAAAAAAAGCTTTATTAACCCTTTTGCACCAGCAGTTCTTCAGGTATCCATTGCCAGCAATGGACTTCAAAGCCAAGTGATCCAATTTTCGGCCCCAAGAGGTTAGCACTTTACATTCATTTACAAAGCTGAGTGAGGTACATTTTCAGAAGTAGAAAGATTCAGTTGCAAGTCCCATAAAAAGATGGAGTGTTCCTTGGCCATTTTACAAGGTTAAGAACTGGTATGGTCCTTGAGAACAGAGTATTGCAGGCATTGGGAGCTCAACAGTCTCTGGTGCTCAGGAGATCATGGTGACCACTCGAGCAAGACCCAGTCATCCCGTCAACAAGATTCCTCCTTGGCCTTTCTACCTCTCAGGAGTGGTCTCCAGCCATCAGATAGAAGATCTCCAGTATAAATTAGTTTGGTTTGGAAACCCCTCCTGAGAGGGTAAAGAAATTCCCTGGACTTAAGCTGTAAATTCAGGACAAAAAGGACAGAGACCCTAATGCTCAGTTATTGAAGTTAAAGATAGAAAAATAAACTGGCTCAACCAGAGAATAAAATACTGCCTACAAATCAGGATCTGCAGTTGACTGTAACCTGTATACTTTTTATCAAGTCTTCAACAAAAGAATTGATCCGGACACATACATAGTTCAAAAGGCACAGGAAGTAAAAGCATTTCTGAATGACCTCGGGTGAATTCAACATCAGTATAACTGTAAAATAAATAAATATGTGCAAGATTAGAAAGATCACAATGTTCTTCTGCATGACATACCCTATTTTGTAAAAAATATACACATACGTGCATACACACACACCTCATTGAGAATAAAAACAGTACATACAGCCTCTTATCAAACTCCTATACATAATTTTATAGGCATTCAGTACATCACCATAAGAAACATTTAAATTACTACCTTAAAATGTAACCAAAGAGTTCTTTTCTCCTATATAACCCTATGCTTATTTAGGTGTCTGCAATCCAGGTAAGTACAGTACATACAACCTCCCCCCGACCTCCCCACTAGAAACTGCAGTTTCTCAATGGGGCAAATCTTCCTAGATAACAATTCTTTGCCCCTCCCAAAATAGTCTAAGAGCTGCATATTCTGTAAACCAGCCGGAAGCTCCATGTTCACATGATATTCTGGGATATCAATAAAGAACAAGCGTTAACAGTGTTCAATCAAAATAATAATAATAAAAAACAGTGGCCCATTTACAGGTAACTTGGCAGCAGTTTATGTAGGAGATATAATCAAGGTGCTTAAATTGAAGTGACTGTCAACATCCCTCCCAAAAAGGGAACACAAAGATAACTAACTTCCCTCAGGTGCTGTTGGACTCTTAGGTAATCACTTACAGTGAGTACAGTTCTATTGCAGTTTCCTTTTTCAAGTGTTGCTGGAAGAATTCAGCAGATTATTTGGGGCATAGGAGCAAAGAAAGGGAGAAACTCAACATGAGCTACAAACTGATTCCCAGCTAAGATAACATTTAGAATCTAGTTTTCTAAAACAAAGATTTAGGAGCATCTCATTTTCATGGCATTGGATGTTAATTTTGATACGTCTTGTCTTGTATTTTATTCCAGTTTTCTGCCAACAAATGGGCTGAAACAACTTTTTGTGTGGAAACTAATTGCAAAATTTGTTCGTAAATCCTCAATGCCACTGGCCCCAACAGGAGACCAACAGAAGGAAAGTTTAAACTGTCAGGATTATAAATTTGTGTGTTAGCTGTAGAATACTTGCTTTCCTGTGAAAACAGTAAATATTACCTCAGTTTGAAGTTTAATACAGTACTTCTCCCTGAAACAACACTGTACAGCAGCCTGCCTCAGTCTCTCTGACCACCAGGCAGACAGAGTATCTTACACAGGCACATCAAGTAGAATTTACATGTTTTAAGAAAAAAGATCTTCAGGTATAACTGCCCTTAGCAAATTGAAAAGAGTGCAACCATAATCCAGTACTCCTAGTTTTCATAGTTTCCTTGGAGAAAGACCCACATGGTTATGTCACTCTGCCGAAACATGATTGCCCAGTTCATGTTCAAGTAACTGTTCTTAGCAATGGTCATTCCAGGTCCTGTAAGTTTATTGTGCTTCCAGTGAACTGGGAGTTATCAGAACCTGCATCATCTTCAGTGGAATTGTGTGGCTCCTGTTAAGACAAACAGACAGCATGAAGAGTTCAGCGCTTTCACCTCTAGATGCTCTTAATACTCATCAGTCAGTCTTAATGCTAAGCAGTCATTACTTTGAAATTTATCGAAAATCACAGAAACCTTCTGAATTGTTTAGAGGAAGCCCAAAGCTTTCCTCCTTTGGGGACCCACTCAAACAGTGCTGCTTCAGTTTTCCTTTGTGCACTCCAGATGAATAGGAGATAAATTAACATCAGTGACTGTTTGCTTTTCATCTGATAACTCTGTACCATGGGCAACTATTCTAGTACTCTTGTACTTGTAGATTTATTATAGTAAGGTACTTCTCTATATTTAAAAGCATTATTTCCTATGCTGAAGAAGCACTGTTGGTGAGAATACTGCACTGCAGAGTCTGTAAAACACAAACCCCCAAATGGCCAGTAGAAAAAGTGGTCTGGGTACATGCTAATCTCTCCTTGCTGCTTGTTCTCAGCCGTTCATCCTCCCTGACACACCGTTTGCTGGAACAGCAGATAAGAGGCATTTACACAAGCAGCAAGGACAATGACTACCTCCATATATGAGACCTGGTATCCAAACAACTGAATCTCCTCTGATACTTTGAGACCTGGTATCCAAACAACTGAATCTCCTCTGATACTTGGTAGTTCCCAAAGCAAAAAGTTGAAACCAAGTATTTTAGACTTTTTGATTTTACTTCTTTTTCTATTTAGATCCCCAGTTGAAAAATGTATGCTCAAGAAATTATAGCGCACTTCCAATACTTCCCGCAGCCTGTTACGTATCAATTCTGATCCTCCTTCTGGACTTATTTAATGTTACCATATGGGATCAGAAAAACAAGAATAGGGCACTGCAGTAATGAATGAATAACATTTCTTGGTCAGCACTTGGTATCAGAGGAAGAAAAACTACCATCTATGATGTGTCAAAGGTGGGTAACATATACAAGATACATCTAATCTTGGACTGCACTTCTCAGAGCTTACTGTAAGTGAAATTAAATTTCTAACCACAAACAGCATATCTCAATTAAGCAGAGCTCCACAGTGTTCACAGTGCACTATCTTCACTCTCAAGCCGGGCAATAAAGAGCAACAGCTCTGAAATGCTGTACCTGAAGTATGTGAACAGGTAAATCCACTGTAAGCTGAGAATGTGATGAGGACGACTGAGAGCTCAGCTGAAAGGGCAAATCTCCCTCTCCTGGGGGATCATCCTGTGAAGGCAGAAACACAGTGCAATTATGAGACCCCCAAGCATCACAGTAAATTTCACTCAACCTCAGTGTTAACAAAAAGTCTGGTAAAGCTCTTACAGCTTACTGGTAAGGCCTAGATGCACAGAGGCATGCAGAAAGCTAACCACCAGTTATACCTCAGCCTAGGCCAGTGCACAACTTAATACCCTACTATAATCAACTCTGAAACATGGCAAGACCTGGGAAGAGAGAAATAGTTCATCTTCCACCAAGAATAACATTCTAAAACATGCTGAAGACCACAAGCTCACCATGCCTTGTGAAGCTGGTACTTTAGTATTAGGCTACAAATGCTAACAGCAAAAGGTTTTGAAGTAGAAATTGAGAACATCTGGCTGCTTCAAGAACCAGCAATGAAGACAGAGGAAGAACTTCATCCACCCATAGCTTGCTCCCTACCATATCCTGCCATTACGAATAAAGTGGAATAAAATTACCTTCTCTCTGTAAACTACAAAGATACACACGTGACCAAAAGCTGCCATGTCCCACTGCCCAACCTACATGGGCTACAAGGTATTTTTTAGAGAAAAAAAAAATCTTAAACTTTACTTTGATAATACTGAAATAATAGTTTAGACCGAAACTTTATTTTCCAGGACTTTTTTGAAGCGAGTCTTATTTACCTTTTAAATGGGAGAGAGGTGGAATAATACCAAGAATTTTGGGATCAGAGCAGTAGAGGGAAAAAAATGAAAAAAAAAGTAAAAACACACACAGAGGAAAAAGCTTATATAACCCCTAAGTTAATGCATGCTTGTAGCTCTTTCTCTCAAGGGCACTCTTACCTCACACTTCAGGGCAGAAGGCAAAACCTGCTCTGCCTCTCTTCTCACAGCCTCAGGAATAATTATAATACTTGAACATATCACAATTCTCCCATGCAAAATAAAAGCTTGTTAAAACTCTTTGTTTTGCCCCAGGCTGCTTCCTACCCCAAGCATGCTCCAGCCTAAGGATGTTCCCTGTACTTATGGTGGCCATACATTCCAGGCTGGACGGAATATTAATACTAAAGGCAAATAAACATGTATCTGCTCTGCACCCAGCAGATGCATGATTAAG